AGGGGGGGGATCGGGCAGGCTTGGCTGACCTGCCTCTTCTTCTCTTCCCCCCCCCCCTTTGCCTCCTGCGCATCGTCATCTGCCGCCAATCCCCCGGCTAGACCGTTTTGAATTAGTTGGGCAACTTCAGGAGGAAAAGTGGCGAGGGGAAATTAAAAAGAGAGAGATAACATACGGTGGCACTTGGAAAAGTAACGTATCTAATTCCTCAGAGGAGCTTTTCCGCGGAAATAAAAGATATTCCTTCCTTTTAAAGCATCACAAGATTTGGGTTTCTCTCCCTCCCCCTTTCCCTCCACTCTCCGCCTCCTCTTTGGTTCGACACAGGATCCCCCAGTCTCTCTTGGGAATGGCTGCAGAGGGAAGGGTCTGAGTTCAGGAAGCGTTGGGGTGCTTTAAACGGACGCCTAGGAGACCCTTTCGGAGCTGCCACCAGGTCCCCGGCTGCATTTGGCAAGGGAGCAGAGATGCGCCTTCCACCCACACCCACATGCTCGGCCCCATTGCTGGTTTTCCACGTCCACCGTCTTGAGCCGAAGGGGCTTCTTGCTTGTGAACCTCTTGAGTGAAGTTGGTCGAGCCCATTTTGGAGGGATGAGGAGTCCCGCCTCCTTCAGCCTCGTTAGCTCCGAGTCGCCAAGCCTCCTCCGACCCTAGGAAGAAGCGGCATCAGAAATCTCCTGCTCTCGACAGCCCTTGGCCTGTGGCTTCCTTTAGAGACTCAGTCCATCTCTTGTGGCTTCCTTTAGAGACTCAGTCCATCTCATGTTGGGTCTTCCTCTTTTCCTGCTGCCTTCCACTTTTCCCAGCATTATTGTCTTTCCCAGAGAACCCTGCCTTCGCACGATGCGCGCAAAGTAGGACCACCTCCGTTTCACCATTTTTTGCCTCCAGAGATATTGTTCAGGCTGGGTTTGATCAAAGACCCACTTATTCCTCTTTCTGGCCGTCCAGGGCATCCACTATGCTCCCTACCGCGCCAAATTTGAAATTTATTTGAAATTTATCTCTTTTTTCCCCCTGTCAGCTCTCTTAACTGTCCAGTTTTTCCCACCCATACATCCTTGCTAGAAATGCAAGAGTGTGCATGATCTTTCCTAATTCCTTCATGGCTGCCTTTCCTAATCTCGGTCTCCTTCGGAGCTTCTTTTCTGTCGCCACCCTTTAGACGATACATATTTTTTGCCATTCTTCGAAGAAAGACACATCACACAAGTGCAGCAAAGGGCCGCCCAAGGTGTAGATGAGGTTGAGACACTGCCCACGTTCTTAGACGTCCTTGGACTGCAACTCCCAGAAATCCTGGCCAGGGCAGCGAGCAGTGAAGGCTTCTGGAAGTTGTAGTCCAAGAAGATCTGGGGACCCCCCCAAGGCGGTGGGGTGGGAGAGGACAGTCGCACCATAGAGTCTGTTGGGCAAGAGGGCCACTTCCCAACCTTGACAGCACTTCCGGCCTCATGGGAGACTGACTTCCTTCTTTGCGTCTCTCTTTAAAAGTCACGCTACTATTTTCGTATCTCTACGAGTCATGCGGCGCGCGAACGTGCGCCACCTTCGAGCCGTCGGGCGGCCGCTTATTGGCCTCGCCCCGCCCCCGGGCGGCCAGCTTGCTTCCCTATTGGAGGAGAGGCCGGGCGAGCCAGTGCGGAGAGGGCCGCAGCGGCCTAGCCCCGCCTCCGGACGAAGAGCTCGCGCTCCTATTGGCGGAGAAGCCACACACGGAAGGGTGAGCTCACTTCCGGGGAGGCCGAACGGGAGCCGGAGAGGATCATAATAGAGCCCCGCCCACCTTCACGGTGCCGCAGCGCGGTGGCCGCCATGACGGTCGGAGGGCCGGTTTGCTACGCGCTGCTGTGCGGTCAAGCGGCGCTGTTGCTGGGCAACCTCCTTCTGCTCCAAGGGGTGTCCCGGAGCCACCAACACAACGCCACCGAGAGTCCGCCCGGGAGAGCCGCCACCGACGACCCGGGGCAGCCCCTTGACGCCACCGCCGCCTCCTCTTCCTCCTCCGGCCTCTGGGAGTACCAGGGCCCTTACGCGCCGCTCGTCCGCTGCGATCACTTGTGAGGCCTGCGCAGGGGTGGGGCCTGAGGGGGAGTGGGCGGGGCTTGGATGGGTGGGAGGGATCTGTCGGAAGGGGGCGGAGTCTGGGGGAAGGAGGGTGTGGCCAAGAGAAGGGGCGGGGCTAATGGAAGTGGTGGTTTCTGGGAGTTGGAGTCTGAATAAGGTTCAGAGCCACTGATCCAGTGGCATGCCAGAAGTAGATTAGAAGCAGCTCATTATTTGTAGTGAATTATTATTTCCAAGATCTAAACAGGTGTGTCTGGTGAGGACATAGGAGAGCAGCTTTCTCTGCTGCTTCCCCCAGACTGTGGAACTCCCTCCCACTGGAGGCCAGGCTGGCCCCATCTTGTCTGTCCTTCTGCAAGCCTTGGATAGAAAGGGAGGGAGGGGCTGCCCAGAGCAGCTTGTGATGTAGGTCCACCGGGCAATCCCCACCTCAACAGATGCAGTCCAAAATGCTGGAAGATGTGGCCCTGAAGGAATCAAGGTGTGGTGGGATAGGGTGGGGAAAACCACCTATCTGTATGGAACTAAATACCTGGGCGACAGCCTCCTGGATCGCCATCACAGTCTTGTTTCCATGCTCCCAACTCTCAGGCTTTAAGTCACTGGTTGGAGATAACAGAAGAAACGGCTGGACCAAGCCACACCTGAATGCAAAGATGTTAAGAATGGGGTTAAATTAACGCTCATCTACCCAACAGAATAGATCAGTTGCTGCAGCTTCTGAGGTTTCAGACACCTGAACATGCCTTGTGCTTTATTTTCAGACCTGAGGAGTTCATCGAATGCGAAGCTCCGGTGGATCACGGTGGAAACACAAGTGCCCGAGATGAACTGGGTTATGGGTGTCTCAAGGTGGGTCCAGAAGAGTTTGTCTCAGCACTTTCAACTCTGGGTAAATGCTTAGTAAACGAGGCATATGGTGATCACGCAACTGCCTCCTTGAGCTCGTGGGTTCAGAGCAGCTGGCATTGATTATACAGCTCACCCTTGCATTTGGAACCAAACCGGTTGCTTGATGGTGGTTGTGAAGCGAGCCCCACCTACACCGTCTTCTCAGGATTGATAGTGTAAATGTGTCCTTTTATGGCCTTGCTGATTGTAGCTGTCATAATTAAGTTTGGACGTAAGTAGGTATGAACTGAGATTGGTATGTTGTAAAAGCTGGGATTGCAAAACGAAGCATTGGGAATTGGGTGTGGGAGGTGTTCCCGATGGAAGATGTACAGTTAAATCAAGGAGCCTCACCGGGTCTGTCTTGTTTTCTGTCCCTGAGAACAGTTTGGTGGTCAAGCATATAGCGACGTGAGCCACACTCAGGTGTTCTGTAAGGCGCTGGATGGCATCGAGTGTGCGGGCAATCGGACCTTCCTGCGTGGAAATAAGCCGTGCATAAAGTGAGTTGCCTTCCTGGAGGATTTAGGTCTTGTTTTGCCATTTGCCACCTTGTTTTATAAAGTTTTGTCCCATCTTTTAAGAGAACCATCAAGACAGTGCTGTTTAAAGACGCTTGTAAGGGCATCTTCAGCCACGACACATTTAAGCCACTGGTCCTGCCATCGTTTAGGTTTTAGATTTTATGTCTGGATTTATTGGATTAGATTGCGGATTTCTTTTCTTTGTTCTGTTATTTACTAATGATTTGTTGTCATACAGTTTGGATTTCTCTTGTGACCGTAAACCACCCAGACTAATATTTGTCACTAATCAGGCAGGCTTACAAGTATATGAAATAAATAATTATAATACAAAATAATCCAGGAGAACTGGACCCAGAATGTAGGTATAATATTATTTATTACTCTTTGGGTTAGGGACGTGGTGGCGCTGCGGGCTAAACCTCAGAAGCCTGTGCTGCAGGGTCAGAAGACCAAGCAGCCGGAAGATCGAATCCACGCGACGGAGTGAGCTCCCATCGCTTGTCCCAGCGCCCGCCAACCTAGCGGTTCGAAAGCATGCAAATGCAAGTAGATAAATAGGGACCACTTCGGTGGGAAGGTAACAGCGTTCCGTGTCTAAGTCGCACTGGCCATGTGACCACGGAAGATTGTCTTCGGACAAAAACGCTGGCTCTATGGCTTGGAAACGGGGATGAGCACCGCCCCCTAGAGTCAAACACGACTGGACAAAAATTGTCAAGGGGAACCTTTACCTTTACTCTTTGGGTTATTGTTGTTCCATTTATAACATGCCTTTCTTCTGCTGAGCTGCTGCCAGTGTACGAGGCTGTCTTTCTCACAGCTGCCCTGACTGGGGGTGGAGTATAGGCTAAGCAAATATGACTGGCCCAAGGTATATATATTAATTCAGGAAATTTTCAGGCTCAGTTGAGGTTTAAACCCAGCTCTCCTGAGTGCTGGTCCAACACTAACCACTACATCTGCTCTGACTTTTAAATGTGTGACGGGTAGAGATGGGTTTGCTTTTTGTCTGACCAGGTGTCTGGTGCTTCCCAAGCCCGCCTCCTCTGTCAACTGCCCACTCAGAGGCAGCCCCCCCCCCAGCTGCCCTGTCCTGGGTGCTGCTTTTGAGTGGGCGCCTGCCGGAGTAGGTGGGGCTGGGAAGCGCCGAACCCCTGCTTGGAGGAAAAATGAACTGCCGAACTGGTGTTTCTTGCCCATCTCTAGCAGTGGCATGTAAGAGAGCGATCTGAATCTCTTCTCATCTTTTGTGTCTTCATCACTTCCATCCTAAGGAGCGATTTTGGTATAGACGCCAAGAGTTAGACACGGTCCTTGCCACTGACAAAGCCTGAGCCAAAGGTTCAGCAGCTATTTTTTATACTCCTGAGATTGATGATGGCACCTGAACAAAGAGGTTGGGCTTGAACCAACGTCTCTCCTTTATGAACGAGCAAGTGGACGTAAAAGCTTTCTCTGACTCTGCTTTATTGTAGATACACAGGGCACTACTTCATCACCACTCTCCTCTACTCCTTTTTCCTGGGCTGCTTCGGAGTTGATCGGTTTTGCCTCGGGCACACCGGCACAGCGGTCGGCAAGCTGCTCACTCTGGGAGGGCTTGGGATCTGGTGGTTTGTGGACTTAATTCTCCTGATCACTGGAGGACTGATGCCCAGTGATGGCAGCAACTGGTGTACTATTTATTAAAAAAAAGAAAAGACCCTACTGCTTGGATTGGACCTCAATCAAAGAAGAGTTTTTATCTCGTCTGAAGCCTAATGCTTGAACACTGTTCCGTAGCAACGACAGAGACGACACTGGGTGTATTTATTTTGCACAGAGAGATGCTCACCGTAATTCTGATGTACATACCTCGTTCTGCTTTCCAAATGGAAGCCGTGCTTTTCCTGACTGCAAAAGATGGTGAAGATATCTGTGCAATAAGCCGACGCAATGGTTTCGCCGTCTAAGGAAAGTATTGTCTTTCTCTGGGTCCTTCCACACTTCTGCATTCCAGCAGGTGCCGAGGCAGTACCTGTTGTTTACCTCACTCTGCTTCATCCCTGTTCTCAGTGTTGTGTGTTTAAAAGTGTTTTCCCAATAAAGCTGTACAGCCAGCATTTGCTGGAAACCATGTATGGGGCTGGCGTGTTCCTTCAGAATGATATTGCAAAGGTAACAAGTGTTTCTGTCTGAAAGAGGTGTTGTGCAAGGGAGACAAAAGTTGAGTCTGAGTCTGTGGTTCCTCTTTGTGATTATCCTGTTATATGCATTTCATGTTACGTGTTTTGTGCAGTCTAGCAACACAGTTTCCTGAAAGAATTGAAATATAATCATGTGCTGTCAAGTCAATTCAGACTTATCGTGTGTGTGTGTTACAGGTTACTTGGCTGTTATAAAAGGGGTCTGTGACATGAGAAAGTTTGGAAACTGCTGGTTTGCCCATTGCAATCCCATGTTCTGCTCGTTAAAAGGTTCTTGCTTTGAAATACTTTGAAGGCAGATCTGCTGAAATGCTCGTTTGTTCTGAATGTCCAAACCTGTCTTACTATAGTGGCTGAAGAGCCGGGCTTACAAGACAGGTTAAGATAATCCTTGATGATCTTTGCTTCTTCTGTTCTGCCTTTGCTTAATGGGTTGGAAAGGAATGACCATTAGAGCACATGGGCGAGAGAGACCTGATTTTAACCAGCGTTTTGAAATGGTACCATTTTATACTGGCTAAAAAAAACAGATTATGTCCAGCAGCCATGCTAAGTAGAGTTGAAATCTTAAAGAGTACAGTAGGATCCCTGTATTTGTGGAGGATTGGTTCCAAGGCTTTTGCAAATGCTGACAACCGCAGAGAACAGCAAATGCTCTACGTAGCATGGTAAAAGAAAAACATCTAAAAAAATATTTTCACCATGTATTACCAGAATTGGCCACTAGAGGGAGACAGAGTGTACTGTGTATTCCTCACCAACAAGAATATATAGCATGGCCTCTGGCTCTCTCTAGTGGCCAGTTCTGGTAAACATCATGAAACTTCATATTTCTAGTTTTTTTATTTTAATATTTCCAGACTGCAAATAAGTGAAACCACGCATATCGATCCCGTGAATACGAGGGTCCTACTGTATTTCTTCCAAGGTCTGGTTTGTAGTGTTACTTCAGAACAAGCCAGAGCAACATGGTTGGGTCTAAATTAAGCTTATTTCTTGTCTTGCAGGCAATTTCTGGCATTGAGTTACCTTTCATCTCTACTGTTCTGCATCTTTCGTCCTGGATCTTGCAGGTAGAAGCTCACGCTTCAGTGCATAATCTCAGGCCAGGTGATCTTTGAAATGCCTTCTGCCAGAATTGTGTAGCCAGAAGGGTATTCCTCCACCACCACCCCACCCTCATTTGCCTCACTTGGATGGAAACAGTCAAATCAAACCACTGTAACGTGTTCCGCTTTCCCACTGGGCTCTTTGCTAAGTTGTATACACTGCCCATTTAAAAAAAACCCTGTATGTTCTATATACCTATGGTCTAAGCTATTGGTTACAGGCTCAATTCAGGATTTCCGCACCAAACTTTTGCATTAAAAGGGCAATTTTTAATCAATTTCATCTGGCCTGACTGTCAGGATGATGTCTTCGTTCCCTCGCCGCACCACAATGGCGAGGTTGTCGCTGCGTTGTACCGTGTCCGTGACGTCGTGGGTTGAAGTGACTGTTTTCCCGTTAATCGCAATGATGACATCTCCGTCTTCCAGGCCGGCACTGCAACCAAAGCCAGATTTATTTTTTTCAAAAAAAAAATAAAAATACACAAGAACAAGCAAGGATTTGAAAAGGGCAACTGCGGATGGAGTCTTTTTTTTTTTCATAACAGCAAAAGAGTTCAGTACAGTTGCCGCCCTTCCAGGTTGACTTTCAGCCGATGTGCTTTGCAAACAGGTTTCTCAGATGCGGGGGGGGGGTACTCTGGTATAGTAGGCCCCCTCTATCCATGGGGGATCAATTCCAGGCCCCCCCCCAGCCACTTGCTGTGCATCCCTAGGACTGATGGGAAAAGCTCCACTCTCTGGCGGGCTGGACATCTGCTCTGAAATGACCCATGATTTCAGGGTGCCTGCCACTTTATTGTTACTACATGCTGCTTACTCATAAATGCAACCCCAGTGTCTTATTTTGTTTTTTTATTTAATTGGGTAAACTGACTTACGTTTCATTGTTTTAACTGGGGAAAGCAAGATGCAAGAGTCCAAATAAATATTGCCTATTACCGTGATCACAGCAGAGTGGTGTGTTGGTAAATCCTTTGATCATTAACAGTTTGAACCTTCTGCCCATTGTTGCCAGAGAAAGGTGATAATCTATATCCCCAGAGGGATGAAGGAAATGCACCCTGATCTCGCTTCCCCACTACTGGTTTTTCATCCCTGCCTCTAGAAGGTTGCATCCATGTTCCTCACGCGTGCATGCTTGCATCTGTCGCTTCACCTTGCAGCTGCTGTTCCTTGAATCACTTCGTAGACATAAACGCCGACACCGGGGATCAGGTCCGGGAAATCCCTGTCTCTCCGTCTAAGCTCGCGGATAAGGCTGAGAAAAGAGAGGGAGTACTCCATCAGACAGACCATTCAGAATGGGGAGAGTGGGGGGGGGAATTACTTTTGGGGAAGCAACCGCTCCTGCAACACTGAGGCTACCATCACCGTTAGGCACGCTGGTTTTGAGCCCTTCTAGCAGTTTTAATCCATCAAAGTCATTTTCATCTCTCTTAATCTCTTAGAATTCCACCCCAAACATGGAAATCCCAAACTCTGTTAGCAAAGAAAGCCTTCAGTTTGTAGAACTAGCCTCAGAGCCTTTGCAAGCAGGGTATTTATTTCATTGTTTTTAATCCAAACCTCTAAAAACCTGAGGTTTGACCAGATTTCATCTGGAAAAGGTGTAGTTAAAAACCTACAACATTTATAATGTCAAAACACTAATCCATGCCATCTTAAAAATGTAGTTGAATCTGAAAGCAATTTAGATTTAAATGGGGCCTCTGAGGGCTACAGATCACGGATCGTAGGTTAGATAAAGTCAGTGCCACCACCCACCTGAACAGCCGCCAGTCGGGCAAAATTAAAGGCTGACCATGGCTAACGACCCTATGCTATTGGAAGACACCCATTGCAGGAATGAGCCCCAGGAAATGAGGTATGGGGTGGACGTGGTTGGTTTGGAGCACCTGTTCCCAGTTTTAACTCTGGAAGGTACACTAAAATGTGAGAAGGAATGTTCCATCATGTCTGAAAGGATGGGCCACAAGGGAATCCCTCAGATACTAGTATTTCTCCCACTCATATTTCCCTCCCCCTTTCATGTCCCAACCCTTCCTCCCCAACAGAGTAGGTTCCCCACGCGGTCCTTAGAACAGTTAACCCCCAATGTGGTCCATTAGGGCAATGATTCCCAACCTTGGGTGACCCAGTTGTTCCTGGACTTGAATTCCCAGAAGCCTTCAGCACCAGCTGTGTTGGTCCAGAGTTGCAATCCAAGACGACGGTTGGAACCAGACATGGACAGGCTCTTTCTATCGAAGGTAGCTTTCCCCCAGGTAGGTGCCCTCCAGAGCTTGCAGAGTACAAATCCCAAAATCCCCCCCAGCCAGTGAGCTACTGAATTCTGAGAGTTGTAGTCCAAGACATCTGGAGGGCCTCTACTAACCGTTCATGCCCATTTCCCAGCCCGATGATTCTCAGCCTGTTCAAGGTAGGTGTTGCATAAAACCTCCCAGTAATAAAATAAAATAGGCAACTTGCAGTGTTTCAAATATTCAGACAATGAGAACATGGTTGAAGTCACGTAAGGCTACCCTTTAAACTCAATGATGCAGCCAGAGGTCATGTAAGGACTGGATAGGTGAGAGCAACATAGGAAATGAGGACAAGAACTTACTTGAATGTGAGAGGAAGCATTCGGAGCCCCAGGTATTTCTTCTTGGTCCTACTCTTCCCTAAAAAGAAGTATAGACAGAAGTATTCTTTAAAAAGCCAAGGGGGGGACCATGCAAATACCAAGTTCACACAAAACACCAGACTCTGTGTTTGCAGGTAAAAATGGTAGATAGAAACAAGGATAAAAATAGTTACATGCACAGGTGCTGTGCAACTTGTATGCCCATGACAGAAAGAGGAATTGATGACATGGGTGAACATAGGTTGCTGACTCGGTAGACATTCAGTAGACACAGTACAGTAGGGCTACCATATCTGGGGGAGATTGCTTCCAAGCCCACCACCCCCAAATACTGAAAACTGGTTAATAACAAAAGGTATACATAGTGTGACAAAAGAAAATAAATCCAACTAGGAAATATTTTCACATGTATTACCAGTACTGGGTAATAGAGGGAACCAGAGACCATGCTATGTATTCGTCAACAACAAGAATCTTTAGTCTCTAGTTCCCTCTAGTGACCAGTTCTGTCAAATGCACATGTTTTAACTTGATCTATATGCTGGCCCTCAATACTGTAACCTATTCTTTAACTTTATTATGCCTAGAGAAAACCATTATTTTGGTTTTCTTGAAATTAATTGTTAATAGGTTGTTCCTGCAGTAACTCATAAATGCACGTGGAATTCGTTTAAGTTGACATGATAACCATGTCATCTGCGTATAGTAGTAGGCACATTGATTTTTAGCCAACTTTGGGGAATGAAATTCAGGTGCTGAGCAGCTTTTAGGAAGGTCATTTAGATACAAATTAAATAATGCAGGCACCAGAAAACAACTTTGGCGAACCCCTCTCTCTGCCTGAATGGAGTCTGATAGATTACTATCGACTCCACATCTTACCCTAATTGTGGTCTGTTGGTAGAGGCTTCTGATAAGATATAATAGCCTCTTATCAATCGAGAAATAATGTGTTAGCACATCTGCATGCACGCAGATATGCAGGCATACATTGGATCACAGAACTGCCTCCTTCTCATCCTTCTTGACAACACTACCTTTCACTTGACGGTTGTGAGAATCTTCCAGGAACTGGCGGATTCGATCCGAGGGAATAGCAAAGGAGATGCCAGCTGTCACCTTCAGGGTGTTCATGCCAATGACTTCACCATCCTGTTCCGGGAAAAACCTCAGCTCTTGTGATCAGACTGGAAGACATTTTTTTTAACCCTTTCTGATCAGTAACATAAATACTGAACAGTTTTGTGGCATCCAGCCCTGGGAGTGGGGTGGAGAAATGCTCATACCACCAAATTTAGAAACACGCTGTAATTGTTTAAAAAACAGCTTGCTAGTGTGAGGAGAATCTGCAGTGGGGGAAGGAGAAGCAACCAAGGTTGTTAATGCTTTTATTACTTTGTGGAGTTTTAATTATTATTGCAGTTTAATTACACACTGTAATTGTTTAAAAAATAGCTTGCTAGTGTGAGGAGAATCTATCTATCTATCACAAGGAATACTATATATATGTGAGCCACCTCAAGGCCCTCAGCAGGAGAAAGGTGATAAAAATATATCAATAAATTAAACAGTTTAATAAAGGCCATGCCAAGCATGCACAATGGTATCTTATACAGTATGACTGTGGTATCTCTGAGGGATTGGTTCCAAGAACCCCCCCCCCCATGGATGCTGAAAATTGCAAAGGATCAAACGCTATACATAGTATGGTCTCTGGCTCCCCTTAGTGGCCAGTTTTGGAAAATGCACCCTTGAAACATATACTGTATTTTTCCGTGTATAAGACACCGCCATGTATAAGACTGCCCCCCACTTTTCTAATCCAAAATTAAGAAATCAAAGTGGGGTTTGCAAGTGTAGGGGGAAAGGGATCAAAGTGCTGCAGGATCGTTTTGATCCCTGCTTTCCTCTCCACTTGTTTTTGTTCTCTCCTCAGCTTACTTCCATGTATAAGACGACCCTCAATTTTTAGTCTAAAGATTTTAGACAAAAGTATAGTCTTATACACAGAAAAAATGGTAAATATGTACTTCTGGAGGTTTTTTATTTAGTATTTTCAGCCAGCAGATAAGTGAATCAGTGGATACTGATCCCACTATTAGAGGGGGTGGTGGTCCTACTGTATAGTCCGGAAGGAATAAGGAACTTCTGGACTATAAGATACCAATAATGTCCACACACAGCACCACTTACAAGACACTGTGGACTTTCAACATCAGCCCATGTAAATGCTCACATCAACCAGAGGTGACAACAAATTGAAGAAATATACTCACCAGGTAAAAACATTAATCTGACTTCTAATTTGGCACAATTGGTTGCTTCTGCCAGGTAAATGAACCCAATTCTAGCCCCTAACATGGGCCAGAAGCGGCTGGGTCTGTGTTGTCCACCTTCACAGCTCAAAAAGAAACTTTTCACCTTTCAAGCAAGCCATGTGAGAGTGTGTGTGTAGGGGAAGGGGAGGATGATCACTTTGGACTCAGGAGCCAGGGTGGATAAATTCCAAAGCACAGGGCAGAAAAACACAGAGAGCATGTCGAGATGTTTAGACAAAGCAGGAGTCCGGGAAGATGAAGAGCGAAAGAAGAGCTTACCAAGTTGACCAAAGGCCCACCGGAATTTCCGTACTGTAAGAGAGATCAAGAAATCAGAGAAAAGTTGAATCCATCTGTCCGGACACACATTGGCAGAGTCATAACTAGCCATGCTAACAGGCCAGAACTTTGCCGTGCTCTTTGTTAAGCTTAGGACATGGGAGACGGGTGTCTATGAGGAAAAAGGTGGATGAATAGGAAGGGATGCTCAGATCTAAGCCTAAGACACCCCTATGGGTTCTGTACTGAGCTTGAGGAGCAGCTGGAGTTCGGGTTCATAAGCCAGACAGGTTCCTACCTTTCCACTAGGAAACCATTGTTGCTCTCTATGTTTCCACATCCTGAGCATCCACCCTAGTTATGGCTCTGTGCTTCTGGCAGAATGCACTGGAACATGTGCCAATGTACTTTAAGAACATAAGAAGGGTGATGCTGGATGGCAGGCCCATGCAGGCCAACGTTCTTATTTCCATGGTGGCCAACCCAGTGGTTATCTGAAGCCCATAGGCCTTAGTTCTGGTTTTAACCTATAAAGACTTAAATGGCTTGGATCCAAAGACCGTATCTCCCATTGAGAGCCAACTAGGGTGTTAAGATCATCAGGGGAGGCCTTCCTCATGGTCCCGCCACCCTTACAGGTGCATCTGATGGGGACACGGGAGAGGGCCTTCTCTGTGGTTGCTCTCAGACTTTGGAACTCCCTGCCACTGGAGGCCAGGCTGCACACACACCCTTTTGCTGTCCTTCCACAAATGGAAGGAAGGAAGGAAGGAGGGAGGGAAATTAAGAGAAGCTGCAACCTTGTTGTCAGCATTTGCTGCCAGAGGGGAATACCTTATATCCAATGGTAGGGCCGGTTCTCTTTCTCGTTTGCCTCCACTGCATGGACGGACCCAAGAGAAGGAGGTTCTTACATCAGATAGCAAGCCATCAGAGCAGCCAGGAACTTCAGCCGCTTTGTAGAAGGAACATTCCCAGCAAAGTCACTTACATTGATGATGGCATCCGTCTGGATGTATTCCATATCCGAGTCCTTCAGCCCCAGGTCTTTGCCATCTCTCTGTGTGCTGCTCACAATTCCGGTTGTCACCGTGTTCTGCAAGGAGAATGGGCTCCCCAGGGCTACCACGAACTCCCCAGGGCGAAGGTCGGAGGATCTGCCCAGCAGGAGCACCGGGAGTGGCATCTACACAGAAGTGAAAAGACATTTGGGCACCGGGGGCGGGGGCGGGAATCCGGCTCCTAAGCTGCCCTCCTTGCAGCAAACAATCGTCATGTACACCAAGGCTGCTTAAGTAGGTGGTTGCCTCACCCTCCAGCCAACCTGCCTAGGCAGAACCTAAGCTTCTCAGGTTCCCCTTCCTACCCTGCTGGAAAAGAAAGCAAGAGACTCACATTCGTATCTATTTTGATCAAGGCAATGTCGAGCTTGTTGTCAACCTCCTTGACTTTGGCGTCAAACTGTTGGCCGCTCTTGAGCTCCACTTTGATCCTCTGCTTGTTGGTGAGAACGTGGGCATTGGTGATGATCAGGCCATCTTCCGACACAATGAAGCCGGAACCACTAGACACCAGGACTTCTTTGTTTGTATAAGGAGCCCTGGCCCAGGATCACAGCAAAAACAAGAACAAAATCCATTACGACCAGCTTTATACCCCTTCCAAGCCTATGGAGCATTTTTGGACAATGGGACTGTTTAGATGTAGCCAGCGGGGATTCCATCCAAATGCAACTTTTCCTCTTTCAGGACAAGCAAAAAGGAAAAAAGGGACTGGTTCAGCATGAATGGGGAAAAGCTGGTGATGACTGGCCAGTGACTGTAACGTCCAGAACAGACATCTGGTCTAAACTGCAGCGTTTTCTCACAATTCGTCTTTAAAATTTGGTCTTTTTAAACCAGAAAAAGAAAGAGGGGAGGGGGGAGAGAGTGTGTGAAATATAAGAGCGATAACTAACCGAACATTTGTCTTTTTGGAATGTACATGGGTCTTGGAAATGGCAATGTCAGGAAGAAACAAGTGGAGATTCTGCTCTGTAAATATATACACTGAACACAGATGTTGGCCCACAGAAACCTATGGTGAAGGTTATTCAAGGTTAAGTGCAATTGATTTTAATAGGTCTACTCAAACCATGATTAAGTCTGGCTCCAAACTCACCTCTATCCTCTTTAGAGCAGTGTAAGACAATACAAATGGCCCAAATAACGGAGAAATCACACAGATAAACCTGCCAAAATGCCTGCTTCTCCATAATCACACTTTTGCTGTTATGCATATTTAGCTCACCTTCCCCTGCTTTTCGGATTTTGGCTGCTGCTTATTTTGGTACCCAAGGAATCTGGATGTGCTCTTGCAGGAGGCAAGCGAGTTCAGAAAATTCAATTAGATTTCAGCTGAGGCTGTCGGCCAGCTGCGGGATTTTTGGGAGGCAACTCATCAGTGTTCTAATTAGTTAATAGCTTAATCAATTTAACTTCAATCACGCAGCTGAGCTTTCACAGACTCTCATGTTTAGTTGATCCATCAGCTAGATTAATTGACAGAAGAGACGTCTGTGATTAATTGAGCAACATTATTTCAACATTAATGCTTTGTAGCAGGACCCCCATATCCACAGATCTGTTTCAAGCCCCCCCACAGTGGATGCTGAAAACCACAGATTTATAGTGAACACTATTTTAATTGAGAACAATATACATAGCAGGGTCTCTGGCTCCCTCCAGGGGACAGTTCTGGTAACTTCATCTTTATAAATATATGTTTCTAGGATTTTTCTTTTAATATTTTTAGATTGTGGATACTGTAAGTAAATCAGTGGATACTGATTCCGCAGATAAGGGGGGTCCTATTGCATAAATATTTATGAATACTGTTCTGGCCATTCCTGGATTCATTCCTGAGCCCAGATACCCAGGTCACGGTGGCGACAAAGAGTATATTTCTACAGCTAAAACTCGGACATCAGCGGCACCATTCCTGGAGAGATCTGATCTGACCACAGCGACATGTACCTTAATTATATTCCACCTGGATTATTACTCTGATGTGCTCAACATGACTCTTGTCAGAGGAAAACGTATGGAAAATGCAGTAACTCCTAGATGCAATTTGACTGCTGGTCCAAATGAGCAATAAGGAAGGGTGGAATTTCTTGCTATAATAGCTTCACTGGCCACCTGTTCATTCCCAGGTATAATTCAAACCAACAGTTACAACCTACATGCCTTTATTGGTCCAGAGTGTCCAAAATATTGCATCTCCCCTCTTCGTATTTTAAGATCTTTGGGCGAATCCCCCCCCTTCTCTCAGCTCCATCACCTCTGCAGGCATGCTTGGGCCTTTTCAGTGGCTACTTTTGGGCTGTGGAACTCCCTTTCACTGGATGGTGCCCTTCCCTCAGCAGGCACAGAACTTTCTCTTCAAGCAGTCTTTTAGTAAGCAGTGGACTGCGAAGGAAGGCAATATTTAATAGGGGGATGTTACACCTTTTATATCTCTATTTTTTTAAAAAAAAACCAACTACTTTTAAATTGCTTTAAACTGTTTTTATTCCATAGTTTTAATACATGATGGCTGAAAACCTGTTTGGCAGATTCTGCATGTACAGTGGCAAGCCAGTGGCTTGTTGCTGCTGATTAAAGACTCCCTTCTTTAATTTCAGGTTGCATGGGAATTTGTCTCATTGTGTGTGAGCCAGATACTTCCTTGAAAAAGGAAGTCTTTATTCTGCATTAATCTGCCAGGGATTATGACATCATTCCCATTGGTCAGGTGGAATCAGACAACAGGATTTGGGCCCATATGTTTAATTGTTTTCTAATACGACGATTGATTTTATTTTGAACCATCTCAACATTTGTGTTTCAGACCTTTTGGGACTGGCCTTGGGTATCTTTCCCAAGACAGAAGCAGGGGAGTATGGAAGCTGTAGTCCAAAAAGGAATGCCCCGGACACAGAGCCTCTGTTACCTGCGGAAGAGCTCTAAGTGAACGACGGCTGGGGCAATCTTCTCTACCACATCAGCGATGAAGTTGAATTTGTATTGAAGGCTGTTGGGGTCAACACTTCCTGAAAAAAGAAAGGGACATCACTTACCCTATATGCCATCAATTGGAGCCGACATCTCAGACACCTCTAATACTGCAGCAACAATTGATTCTAACTTGACAGCAGATGACGTTCTTTGCAGAAAGAATGTCAAGTATAATTATGAGTGTTAGCACAGCAAATACAGTCAAGTTTAATAGATGCTGCTTGCCAAACAATGCTGAGTTGACCAAGAGCCTCCTCAGAGAGCTTTCTCCATTTTAATAGTTCTCTGTGGAGTCAGTTCATAAAGCGTTAACCCACTTCTTATTGTCTTTCATTACAGCCTTCAAAGAAGCTGTAAAACCAGCAACAGCCAGTGTGGGATGTGTGACTGCATGTCGGGAGACCAAGATTCTAGTCCTCACTGAGGCAGGAAGCCTCCTGGAATGGCTTGGGCTGATCCCTCTTTCTGAGACTGCGCTACCTTGTAAGGTTCTTGTGAGGATCAAGGGGAGAGAAAGAGAGCCATGGAGAACAGATGGAATATAAAGGTTTTTTAAAAATTAGAATATGCTTTCTAGATCTGCTGGAAAAGTGGTATCTAGAGATATTTCCAGAGCATTTAAAAAAAATAGAAAAGTTACTATAAAGAATGCTTTTCAATGAAATATATTTACATGTTCAACTTTCACTTACTAAGACTGGTTCATACTTGTTTGTTATTGTAGGACTTGCTGCTTGATATCCCACACGTGACTAGATTGGGAGGGAATTATATTTAATATATTATATTATAATATGAGGCTGGCTAATAGCTCAGAGGTTTAGGTATTTGCCTGGGGGAGAGGCTGGTAGTTCAATTCCCCACTTGTGCCTCCTGGGAGAAGAGCCAGCCTGGGTGGCCTTGGGCAAGCTGCAACGTCCCACAGTGCCTCCAGTGGAAGGGAAGGGTAAAGCACCTCTGAGTATTCTGTGTACCTGGAAAACCACCCAAAGGCTCTCAATAAGTCAGAATTGACTTGAAGAAACACAATTATTAGAATGTGACGTATTGTAATATCCCTTATGCCCTCTTAAATATAAGCACAAGAGCATCGGGAAAAACCCAGCCCAGACTTTTCTTTCCAGCTGTGGACAGCTGGGTGCTCCTAGGAAGCCCAAATGCTGTACATGAAGGCCAAAGCTGGTCCACCCTGTTTCTCCTCCAGCAATTGGTTCTGAAAGATACACTGCCTCTAACGCTGGAGGATCGATCTTCCCTCTTCTATGGAATTTGTCGAACCCCTCTCCAAAAGCTTGCTAAATCAGGGGCTGCCCAGCACACCAAGCAGTTGGGAAGGTGGTTAACAGGCCAAGTGGCTAGGACTCAAAAGACCTGGGTTCAAATCCCCACTCAGCCCTGAGAAGCTGACTTGAGTGACCTAGGGCCAGTGAGAGACCCTGGATCTACCCTACAGGATTGTTGTGAGAACACAATGGAGACCAGCAGGAGGAGAGCCATGTACCCCTCCGTGAACTCCTTAGAGGAAAGGGGGGGGTATGTAAAATAAAACAGATTCTCTCAGTGAGATTTTAAAGATCCCCCGCTGGGGTGAAGCCCCAGGTGACTCTTTTTTTCATCTGCTCTGCGCTTTCTCTCATCCATTTCTGAGTGACATTCCTCAACTTTTGGTATCCTTATTAATCTTTGCCACCCTATTGCCTATTATAAGAGGCCTCCTTATTCGCTGTGTGTGGTTCTAGACATCATCCTTGGATGATGCTAACCACCGCGGTACTCCAATTGTTTTCCAACTCTACAGATTGTCTTTAAAGGGCAAAAGCCTTTCTTTGGATCCTTTTCAAGGAGAAAGGCGAGGTTAAAGCTATTTCAAACAAATCAACCAACAAACATCAAGGCGGGATTGCTTGTATAAAACCTGCAGGTGTGAACCAGCAAACAGCCAGCTTCCAAAATCTCCCTTCCCGGGGCGCGGCTGTTAGCTGGGCGGAGAAGAGGGGGGGGGAATGATGGGATTTGTAGTCCACCCGGGGAAACTCGGGCACCCCTTACCTTTCTCCCCGCAGGGGCCCTTCTGGACGGCGATGACCGGGGGCAGGTCCCGGGGGCCCCCGCGCCGGTTCTCGGCCCGCAGGTGGCAGAGGCTGCG